TATGCCTTATTTCATACAAAGAACATGATTCAGAAAAAAAATGCAAGGTGAATGCAAGCAATCACAAGAGGCCATTCATCATTCTGCCTACATTCTTTTATTAATACATTCACAGAACTGCAACTGTGCTCATTTCACAAGTAGTCCCTGGCGGAGGGATTAAAACAGATAACCTTTATAATTGTTCTTCGGCTGTCAGTCAGCCTTTTTTATCTGTCAGCACATGTATCAGCTCCATTACAATGTGGCATTGGATTGAAATGATGACAACATTAAGTGGTTTCTGAAAAAAAAACATTATGTAAATTCAAAAAATGGAAGTAGTTAATTGGCTGCTTCTCAAATACCCAGAGCAATCCTCTTCGGTTCCATTGGTTACTACTAATAAAAAATTACTATTTTATTTCAGAAGGCAAGAAACTCTAAGAATAAAGTAATGAGAAACACACCTCGCTGAAGTGAGTGTTCACACTGATACATCCCTGACAGAGCCATCACCTTGAGAAGGTTTACACAAATACTTGTCACAAGAGTCAGCAGCTGATCAGAAAGCCAGGCAAACCTCCTTCCCCTTTTGCTATCCAAGATCGCAGACAGGACCCCAGATTTAAATGGAAAACCAACACTGTTATTGTATTTACTTTGATGAAACCTTTTCTCAGTGATGTTCATGAGACAAAATCACTTTGGGCCAAAATTTTTAAAATTAATCCCCACCCCTAATTCCATAGGCTGTTTCAAGTGTGTAAACCTAAGGTAAACTCCCTTTGTTTGAAAGCACTGTCACCGCTGAAAATGTCAGGCAACCTAGAATTTTACAGAAATACAAGTAACAGAGTCATCTAAATCCCAGTGTTTCAAGTTAAAGCCGACTTACCACTCTGGGAGGAGCAGAACTGTTTCCCAGCATCTACATGCTGGGAGAACACGCCCAGCATCTACAACTGAACAACATCACTGCTGTCTGCTAATGCTGCTGCCTTCTTCCTGATCATACAGCTTATCAGAAAAATGCTTGAGCAAGCAAAAAACACTCTGGGGGGAGCTGATACCAGCTCTGCTTGCGCTCGGCTGAGAAACAAGAGGGTCCTGAACTACAGAGGATGATGATATTATTAGAGTTTGGAGTGCAGAAGGGGTATTTACACTGATGTTACTGAGAGCTTGAAATGTAGAAAGGGTACTCAGTATGAGTTGGTGGGTGTGGTACAGACAGTGTGCAGAGGCAGAAACAGCAGAGTAACTCATGTTTTTATATAGTCCTCTGGAAAAGGAACCCCTGGCAGCTTTTGAAAATAGCTGCCAGGCCACTTGGTGAAGAAAGGAGATTCACAGAATACCCTTTTCCTGTAGAAAAAAGGGAATGCATACTGCAAAGCGGATTTCAAAGGGGAGAGGAAGGAAAAAGCCCAGAAATGCAAAACAGAAAACACTGACCTAGCAACACAGCCAGATCTGTGTTTGATATGGAGTAGGAAAGAATTGTTCTTACATCAGCAGGCATTCACAGCATACCACATAAGGAGATGGTGAAGTTGGAGGCCACTGCTGGTATGCTCTACCACAAGAACATGGAGCATTGCTGTCACCAGCACCGTAAAACTTGATCAAAACGTATTTTCTACATTGCCATGAGAAAGAAGGCACGGAAACAAGTCACCCCTCATGGCAAGCTGTTTCTATTCACACTGAATACAGTCTCATGAAAATGCATTTTATAACCCACTTGTAGTCTTTTATTCACAAATTTATTTCATCAACAGAACACCTATCAGCTGCAGCATAGTTAAGAATGTCACCAATACCCACCCAAACATATAGAGATCATACACAAGAATTGCTTGAAGCAGCAATCAATGTTACTAGCATTGATTAAGCCAGTTGTGAGTTAACGCAGACACACAAAAAGCAGAGTTAATCCTGTACTTTTTATAAAAGCAAAATTCTGCCTTCCAAATGCTTTTTATGGAGGAAAAAAAGAAACTGAAAATCAGTTGTTTAGGTTCTTTTTTTTATAATGAAGTCCTGACGAAAATCATTAGCTGAACAATGACAGCGTTTTCTAGTTGCAATTTAAATATTGCTCAGAGCCCCACCCAACCTGGTCTTGAACACATCCAGGGATGGGGCATCCACAACTTCTCTGACAACCTGTGCCAGTGCCTCATCACCTTTACAGTAAAGAATTTTTTCCTAATATCTAATCTAAACCTGCCCTCTGTCAGTTTGAAGCCATTCCCTCTTGTCTTGCCACTACAGGCCTTTGTAAATAGCCTTTCTCTATCTTTCTTGTAGGCTCACTTCAGGTACTGGAAGGCCACAATATATCTACACACACAAATCTTTACTTTCTATAAATACAGCATCAGCTGAATTTTAGTTCCCCGATGTGCTATTCTGTATGTGATACCTCAGATTTTACTGTGGATTAGAAGTTTGTTTTCTCTCACAAATTCACAACAGAGTCATATAAGAAACTCAGTTATTAACAGAGAAATTAATGCTCAATGGCACTAACAGCAGTAACTCACAGACTGGTATTCTGCCTTGCTTGCCTGCAACAGGGATTTCTACATCAGCTGATCATCTGTCACTCATGCTGCAACTCATGAAGAGGACTACAGTTCTTATTTCAGCTTTGCCTCTGATTTCTCTGCATTTTGAGATTAGTCTCAAACATTTGGTTCTTATATTGACAGTAATTTTATAGGTAATTATAGAGATTACAATTTCCTGGACAGTAGGAACTGGAACTATGATCCCAAATCTTCTCCACCTCTTCATGGGATTCCAGGAAAAACTAGATTCATTATTGATGTAGATTAATCTTCACCCTAAAATGTAAAAAGGAAAAAAAAAAAAAAACAGTTACAGGCACTTTCTCAAAGTTAGCCAGGTTTCAGCTGACAAGAAAAAGCCTTCTGAAATTTGTCTAATACATCAAAAAAACCAAACCTCTGATATAAATTAAAATAGTCTTTGAAAAACACTTAACAGAATACTGATTTTTTGACAAACACTTATCAGATTATGAAAGCAGACTTTGATTTTTTTTTTTTTTTTTTTACACACAATTTCAAAATATTCTCAGCGAAGTGACAAGTCAATTAAATGTATCCACTTCACTGTTGAGGATTCTATGCACGAAGCATATAAAAAGAAGACTTAATGCATGTTTTTCTTGTGAAGCTGCCACTATCTAGTACATCCTTGGGTTACATTCCCCAAAAGGATTAGTGTAACTTACAGTGTTTACTCCATCATCATCAACTGAGTTCAGTCTCATCATACTTAACTGTACAGTTCTAGTGGTGTTGTAAACACCAAATAGTAGACAACCTTTTCTGGAGACTGCATAGTTTCCAAGAGATACCCACCTTTAGCTGGGCAAATGGCTCTAGCTGAGCATTAGATTTCCACAGGAAGTAGGAAAATGAAGCATTTCCAGGCCCATTTCCTTCCTTCAGTACATGTGAGAGAGAACCAGCTGTGCTCACTAACTGCAGCAGAAATGTGAGAAAGGCTGTGCCCATTTTGCACAAGGAGAGGATAAGACTATACCATCCTTCATTATTTAGGGTACTAGATGAGAATCCTAGTCAGAGGACTTGGTTGTATCACTTCGAGGAGCCACATCAGTGTGGATGAAGACTGTAAGCATTAGAGTAGCAAACAAACATGAACCACAAACATTTGTTAGTTTTCAAGGGGAACTGCTAAACTTCAAGCTCTAAAATGAAGGGCTCCCAGAGATCCAGCTAAGGCCAAAAAATTTATAACACAGCACAATCTGTCACATGATGGAAGCCATGGAACTTTAATGATTGCTGCTAGGAATCCTACATTTTGTAATGAACTACAGCATCTAAGAGCAGATTGAAAAACTACAGTTAGAGCCTGCAACTATGTGTCTCATATTTTTGCATGGAGGACAAACAACAAAACCATTGAAGATGATGCAGGCTGTAACATGCTCGTGTCCATCTGCATGAAGTACAAAAAAACTGTTAGAACGTGGATGTGGCACTTATCTGTGCCACAGAGCTGGACTCAGGCTTGCCAAACACAATCCTGTAATGTCAACTGCTGATTAAGCCAAGAAGCAGAAGCCATGATGGGGAACAGAAAAAAATTGTTGCCCATCACAATGAGAAATTCCAACTCACCGTCTCCTTCAGAAAACAAAACTTTCTGCTGAGAGGCTTCTTGTTTGGTGAAACACAGAAAGAGGGAAGAAAACAAACAGGGTATTTCTGGCAAGATCAGAGCTGAGTCTGTCACATTACCTAGTGCTGAGTGGACCTGTTCTTGTCACGTACCGTAACTCCCGTGCATGTTTTCTACATTCCTGATTCGGAAAGACACTTAAGCACACACATAACATTTGAAATATATGTTTAAGTACAATACATCGTTTACATCTGAAAGTAGACTGTGCAAGACTAACTCTAGCCCAAAGTAATACATTACACTTCTGGTATGATCATGTTACAAAATCCAGCTACAAGGTTCACAGAGTATAGTTCTGAACATTTGGCCCAGGATTTTTCTTCCTCCAGAAAATGGACATGCAAGCATTCAATATAGACAAAAATCCCCAAACTTACATGCTGGTTTTATTGCTATCTTTCAGGACAAACTGCAGTTCCAAACTTCAAACACACGAGGTGGATGACCGGGGTCAGGACGTGGACAACACAACCTGAACCCCCATATCCTCCCCATCTCTACTTCAGTATTACTTAACTTTTCATAATAGTTTCCTGTATCTGTGCAACACTTATAGCAATTGTTAACTAAGTGCATGTTTGGAGGGTCTAAAGAATAAACTTAAAATCATGCCTTAAGGTTCAATATATAAGTGTTTAGAATGGAATTCTGAAAACAATTGTGCTGTACACTGAAATTATTTTCAGTGCTTTCAACTCATCTTGAATTGAGGTAACGCTAAACAGACCCAATTAGTTCAACAAAAAGAAGGCAACATTCAGACTAGCAAAGTCATTCATTATAATATTTATTCTGTGAAACAATGAAGAAAACATAAGATTAAAAAATGTTCCATGCATTTCATAAAATACAGAGAAAGACATTGCCATAAACAGAACAGAATAAGCAAGCCAAACCCCCACTGAAAATCCAGAGAGCTCCACTCTCCACGTTACATCTTGAATACATTTTGAATACAAAAAGCATATCCAGGAGAAAGAGCAGTCTGAAGAAAGTGGTAGGTTATCTGTAAATAACCAGTATGAGTAAATCAGCCCATGAGAGTTTTGCCATTACCTTTCTTATCATAAAACTGATGCCACTTGGTTTCCTTGCTACCAGTTCTTGGCATTATCTTTGGCTGGGAAACCAGGACAATGCAGCAGAACCCAATTTAAGTTGCTGTCCAGGAAAGTACTAGGGCCCAAAATGTAGGGAGCTACAGAAAGATAGCAGGGCCCAATGGGTGAGAGGGAATGTCTGGAAGCAAGATGCAGGGACATGCTTTGACTATCCTACCAGAAGCATGGGAGGTAGAAAATATATTCAGTGAAAGAAGTATGGGCAGAAGTAGGAAATATATCTAGTACCTCTCTTGAAGAATCCCTATCACATATAAGACATGCTGGATTACAGAAGGATGCTGAGAGCAACATCTTCATTTAGGTTACAAATTACATCACTATAAACCTTCTTACTGAAAGCTTTTGATTCATTTCCTTCTCCCCAACCTACAGTACTCTGTTAGGCTTTAGCAAAGTTGTTATGAGATACTTCCCTTGCTTTTACTTTACAGAACCTCCCAGACTCCCACAGTGGTTAACAACCACATAACTACCAAAACCAAAACCAGTCTAATTCTGGACTCTGATATAAAAGCAGCTCCCATTTCATAACAGAAATTCCCAAAAGCTGCCATAGCTGTATTTGGGGAGGGTGGTGTAGCGAAAGAAAGAACAATGCTCCACTTACACAAACACCTACTACCCCAAAAGCCCCACTCCACACAGCCTGAGGAACACCATCAAAGAGTTTCATGTGGGGAGGAGCAAAGAGAAGACAGTGGACTGGGATCCTTGCCCCTGCATCTGGGGATGCATCCACTTCTCAGAACAGCATTCTTCTGCAAGCTACCGAGGTATCTCTGCTGCAGTGCGAAAGGTTCTGCATTGGCCTCCTGTCAGTGATGCATCACAGGGGAAGACTGTTATGGTTAAAAATGTGATTTTCATGTTGATTCTTTCAAACATAAAGCTAGGAATTCCTATTTTTAAAAAAATTTCAGTAGAGTGTAATCTAGCCTGTAGCATGAAATATTACAAAATTAGAAGAAGTAAGATATCGAATTGCCCTTTGCTACATCTTAACTCTCTCCCTTTGCACATACATATCAAGAATATGACTTTATATCACATGATCTTTTCACCTTCCAATTCCTGGAATAACCTTATTTCATTCCCTGGACATGCACAAATGAGTCAGAAAGAAGACTCCGTAGGAAACGCCAAGTCCAGCATTTCTCACTTCTGAGTGCTTACGGCCAGAATACTGGTTTTTTGACGGAGTTTTTAAAATTCAATTATGCTTTATGTGCTCCATTCACCTCGCATTAAGAAAACAGAAAATGCTGTAAAAGATTAAGGTCTCAGGTCTTCACGGGCCTTAGTGAAACACAGAGATTGAGTCTTCTTTTAAAATAACTGCCCAGCTTCCTACCTAGTGTAGTATCTGTGTTGTCCATGTAAACATCACACAGAGTCTTTGTACCACCCACAAACCTCTTTGCTTCAATCAACTATTTGTGCCCAAAAGCACATCTTTATGTTTCTTCCTACACCACAGCCATCCTCCTACACCACAAAAGATGTAAAAAAACCAGGAATTAAGCATAGGCTGGATACTTACAGGGATTGCTGCTGTTTGCTTCCGTCTTCCCAGCCTTAGCAAGTTTGGTTGAGTTCTGCTGTGCTTTGCCTTGCTCCTCTCCAGTTAGCAGGGCTTTTATTTCAGAGGGGATTTTCCCTTGGTCCATTGCCATGCACCACTGCTTGTACTGAAATATGCAAACACATTAGGCATTAGCAAAATGCCAGGATCACATTAGCAGACAAAACAGAGCTCTAATCTTTACCTTCCGGTATATTCATTTAAAGTCTGAATTTACTGAGCTGAAGCCTCTTATGAAACTGCAGAGCACTAATGAGCTAAGCACGTGTCCATGGTTGCATACCTGGCCTCAGCAAATCCTGTTTCAATCAATAAACTGCTACTCAGTGGCCATACTGGACAGAATACTGTAATTATTAAACAACATGGAACACTTTGTGCAATTTCTTGCTGCTGACATGCAAGAATACCGTTCCAGTTCATGGCCTATTAAAAACAAATATTTCACATGACTGTGCAGCTGATGGACTATTAAGAGGTCCTTTCTGATTGTGCAAGGCGCAGTTGCAGCACATGTGCCTTATTCCTAGCTCCCTCATCTTAAAGTCTTCACTGCCAAACCCAGAAGCACATCAAAAAACCTGTGGGCAGCTGGTTGACTTTTCACCTGATCTTAAACCTATTCACTTGTGCTGATTAGCCCTGCCTACTCAAAAAAACCTAAAGCCAGGTCAAGGCAATACCCTCAGCTCCCAGTGAAATTTCAATAGCACCTCAATACCACTGAGGAGCTGTGTCTGATTTCCAAATGAAACATTCTCTTTGGTTAATGCTGTTTATTTGGCCAAGACACCCATCTTACATGTGCTGGAAAACAGGACAGCTGTGCAACCATCTATACAGAGAGCATGCTGCAAGAATCAACTTCCCCAACAGAGAAGCAATGACACACTGTGTACGTTCCCCCTTGATATATTAACACATCTCTTTCCACCATCTACCTGTTTCTACATCTGCCAAAGGTTATTCCAAACAAATATTTCAAAGACAACAGACTCAAATGCAATGGCACTTTCTTTACTTGCTTCCTGTTCAAAACCAGCAGATAACTTGTGACATGAAATTCATATTCTACACACCGAAGAAGGCAAACAGCTGGATGCATCTGATGTTTTGATACCTTCTGGCTAGCCAAATGCCACTGTCAGTCACCATGATTTTGAGAAAAAATGTTCATGAGCACAGGTCCCAAATAATACTGAGGATTAGGTTCAATGATAGTTTCTTACCATTTCAAGCTCTTCTCTGAGAGCGCAGATGGCTCGCTCTCTGCTTGAAACCAGTTCCTCCAGGTACTGGTACCTCAGCTTCTTCCTGGCCCTGCACTCTCTTGCACTCTGACGACTTCTTTCAAGTTTTGCCTTCAGATCTATTTTGGCCGGTTTACGACCTCGTTTGCCTGGTTTCTTTACCTTGCCTCCAACTACCTGGAAAGGAAGGGCACAATAAAGATCCTGTTCTGCAAAGGTAATGCTGTTACCACGTGATTGCAACTCCTCGGTGTCTCAAGTATAAAATCTTGCATATACATTCACTGATTCTGGAGCAACAGAGAAAATATGAATGCTGATGTATGAAGTTTTCAGTAACAGCATTAAAAACAAAAGAGAGGGATATGATTTCACAGTGAAGTAAGTGCTTAGGCAGTCCTGTTGTAAATGCTACTAATCTGATTTGGAGCTCCACAAGATGGTTGAGGTTGGCAAGGACCTCTGGAGGTCATCTGGACCAACCCCTCCAGCTCGAGCAGGGCCAGCTGGGGCTAGCTGCCCAGGACCATGTCCAGATGACTTTTAAATATCTCCAAGAAGGGAGACTCCACAATCCCTCTGGGCCACCCATGCCAGTGCTCAGTCATCCTCATAGTAAAAAAACCCAAACATTTCCTTATGTGCAGATGGACCCTCCTGCGTTGCAGTTTGTACCCACTGCCTCTGGTCCCACTTGTGTACCACTGAAGAAAGCCTGTCTCCACCTCCTTTATACCCTCCCTTTCAGGTACTTGTACACATTGATGAGATTCCCCGAGCCTTCTCCTCTCCAGGACAGATGGTCGTGGCCTTTTCAGCCTTTCTTCACAGGAGAGATGCTCCAGTCTCTTCATCATCTTAAAGGCCTTTTGCTGGACTCTCTCCAGTGTCTCCATTACTCTCTTGTACAGGGGAGGCCAGAACTAGATACACTATTTCAGATATCTAGGAGGGTATCTGGGACATTGAGGAGGCATAGTCAACTTGTAGCGAAATCAAGTTTAATATCACCAACAACTCATGCTCTAGTACTTGCCAGAAATATTAGAAAAATTATATTATCTAGAAATATTATACTATGCAGTTTAACATTTTATTTTGGAAAAAAATATAATCAATGTAATCCAAAACTTAGTTCTGCTGCAATCAACAGTTTCAGCCTACTCCAAAGATGAAGCTTGTCAGAATTATTCACTAGCCATCTGAGCTTACTCAGGCCATGTTTCTTTCAGAGGAATCTTCTGAGGAGTTTTACTCAGTCACACCAGGTCCTACTTCTGCTGCCTCTGCTCCATCAGTACTTAACCACTCTGGCCATGATGGTCTTCAAAACATTATTACACAGCCTGGTGTGAGTCTCCTCATGCAACCTATCAGTGTTCAACTCTCCCTGTACCTAACTTAGATCTCCCTTCCAGAAATAGAACTCCCTAGTTTCTTGCCCTACGGAATGCAGATTTTGCAATCATTTTCCCCTCTTCTTTGTGTCTCCTTTTTAAGATGTCTGAAAGCTTCTCTTGCTACAATTAAAATAAATTTTTTAAAAAAGGAATAGTTTCCTCTGTGTTTACTCTATGCTTCCCCACCCAAATATTTTACTCTTAGCACGGGAGTATGGCACAAGAAAGTTTTAAATAGGCTCTGAAGCTTACTTCACTGGTCATTGGGTACTATCACCCTGTAAGCATTACATCAGCCACGCACCCCAGCTCCCCTCTGAAGTGAGGATTTCTCTTTATTTGCATTCTGACCACACTGTTTGAATGGAGGGGGTGTGGAGAAATACAATTAACACACACACACCTGCATAGAAGAATTTCACTGCTGCTTAGTATTTCACCATACTGTATACAGACGGGACTTTTTCTAATAGGCAGTATTCAAAATATCAGAGTTCAAAATAAAAAAAAGGCACCTTTACTGTGTAATTCTACAAAATAAATAATTTGCAATATTCAAAGAAGTCACTTGTTCTACAAACTTAGCAGGCTGTAATAAAAACAATTCACTAGGGTGAATTGATGTGCTAGAATGAAGAGGAAAAAAAAGGACTACACAATTCAGCCTATTCTTTCTTTGGAAAGTGAGACAACAATCACATGCCAACATAATCCTACCCTCTCTGTATTGCCTCTCCTAATTTATTCAGGAGTAGCTAGCTACCATAAGCAAATGAAGGAACAGAAAGTACTTAATGGACATCTATGATAATGAAACAAATACAATACATTCAGAAGAGCAAAGAAAACAAATCAAGCTCTTTTACACTATAACTGCTGAATACAGTTTGAATAATCCACTCACTCCACCAAGTACTTCAATTCTTGAAGACTTTTAGCACCTGGGGCTTTTCTGTGCCAGTGCAAGGTAGTTCAAAGTAAATCTTTGAATTCAAGAGCTAGATAAGGTCTTGTAGAGAGGTACACTCCAGCTCTCTTAAAAAACCTTTGCCACTGAGTTCTGACCTTCTAGAAGTAGAGTGGGCTCGCTTTTAAGGCTGGAGCCCCAGCACACCTCACACTGTTCTATGAACAAAATAACTCGAGTCTTAGTCCAGCACAGGAGCAGTCACGGCCATGCCCTTTCACCACAATGTCGGGCAGGTGAATAGTTCCCACCACCCTGTTTCTCACATACAGCAAGTTAAAGACTGCTTAGCACATTGCAAATGCATCCTGGATCCACCATTACCAATGAATTGCTTTCCCTTTAGTTACTCCAGAGAGCTTTCTACAGATTGGTGTACTAATTGCTCTCTCTCCAAGATCTTTTACCACTGCAGCAATCCTGCACACAAGCTCTCTTATGGCAGGAAAAAGGCTTGTAACTTTTGGGGTTTTGACCCTAATAATCTGACTTCACACCATCCCTAAAGAACTCATACTGTCTTTATGGCTCCTGGAGTTCACCATACAATTAAGCATCACACTGCAAAGTTGGTCTGGTAAGCCATTTAATCAAATCCTGCATCATCATCACTTTTCCCTTATCAATATTTAAAAGCTCCTGCTGTAACCTTAAGCAACCCAGCTGGGGAAAAAAAGGCCTGGGAAATCCTTTGCCCCCATCCAACATTACCATATCCCCCTGGCTTCCAAGTCATGTTTGCCTACTCAGTTGCTATGCTGATGTGACAGAAAGAAGACAAAGCAGAAGTGATAGTTGATGTTGAACATGGCAACAGACCAAGAAACAAGCAGGCAAACATTTTTTGTCCCTTTGTATTCCTCTGGAGTTTATAAAGGGATGTGATCTATTAGCATTCAGCAGTAGGAATCTGGGGTTTTTTCCACAGAGTCATGAGTCATAAGCAATCAAGACCCAGAAAAACATCAATTATAAAATTTGACATAGAAATATTAGTAATGACATGCATTAGTTAGATGTATGACCAAGCCCCACTTCACTTCGCTCAGACTTCAGAAAATGGAAAAACATAATTCTTTCCCCAAGGTACATGGTGTGATTCTTGGGGTGTCCTGCACAGGGCCAGGAGTTGGACTGGATGATCTTGATGGGTCTTTTCCAACTCAGCATACTCTGTGATTCTAAGATTTTCTTTTTAATACAGTACCTAGATCATAACCTAATTCTTATCTGCCATCAGTGTTCAACCACAAAGTTATGTGACCTGGAATTGGAAATAGCTGCAATTACCTGACCTGACATAGAAAATCCCTCACATTTCTTGGTTTTTTTATTAGAAGGATGCAGCACCTACAAAAGCACTTCCAGAATGCATGACAGAGTCCCCCTTAGGAAGGAGATGCATACATAATACAGTTACTAGCACTCACAACCCTGAGGAACTGAGCCCCTCGGATCGAAGATTTTGATAAAGCGGCCTCATTGTGACATCTGCAGGTTTTAAACAATTCAGCAGATTAAAACAACACTATCTGAAGTGTCAAAGCAATGCTGATCACATTGACCAGTTCAGCATTTTCCAGCAGCTCGGAGTTCATTCACCAATAAATCAGCGGTTCTATCAAACAGTAGTTGAGATCCAGCTCAAAGAATCATCTTAAGTGGAATCTTCATTGCATTAGCAGTTGAAGGTACAGGTGTGCAGAATTTAACTTAACATGAAGCTGATGACCATATACAGAATTTACATAAAACTGTAAAAATGATTAGTAAGAAATAAAACCTAAGTGCTGCATTACAGTAGAGGGGAGAGGAATCTATTCACACTGGCAAACATTTTCTCAAAATCAGAAAGCAAATTAAGTTAGTCACAAGTCTGCTAATAAAGACGAAGTTTTCTGATCTTCCAATTCAAAGCATACCATTTACAGCAGCAGTACAAAACCCAGCTGGAAAGTATGCTTGTTATTCCTCCGTTGCATGACATTTTATATGCTTAACATAGATTTAACTTTCACTAGCAGACAAAATGCTTCCCATAACGATCCAAAAATGTAAGATACTATTTAGTGAGCAAACACTTTATGTCTTAAGCTGGTATGTCAATAGACATCTATCTTAAAACCCTAATGATACAAAGTGATTAACACACTAAGAATGTAATTTTTTGCACAAATGCATAAAGACTGTCTTTGCTGCAATGTCTATTAAAAAAAGCATAAGCTAGGAATAAATATCAAGTGTTTTCATAAGGTGTTACACAGGCACCCAGAAGTCAAGATTAAGATTCAGGGCAGCAATCAAACAGATACCACCTTCCTGCTCAAGAGGTGAGAGTCCTCCTCTTCCCCCAGGGAAGGACCTACACCTCACCCGTGGAAGCATGTCCACCAACGTGCTGTACACATTCTGCCAGTTCACACTAACAGAAGCCAGGCACTTCTTTAAACCTGTCTCTGTTAGAGCTCAGAACAGACACAGGGATGTCAGCTAACTCTACCACGTATAGCCTCCTAGTTCACTGCAACAATGAAATAAAACTGCTCTAGCTATTTTATAGGGTTTAAGCTCATCCATTTTACTCATTCATTGAAAATATGAGCAGATGTGCCATCTGAGCAATGCCAAGCAGCACCTTCTTAGAACATCTAATGACTTAAAATTGCTCATATAAAATTATAAACAAAATTATAACCTGCTCAGGTTTTATTTTGCCAAGCAAGCAGCAGTGAGAATGCTTTATATTCAGATATGATCCTGGGTGGAAAATTTCTCCAGCACATTGCAAATCTACATATTCTGAAAAAGCCCTGCAGGGTGAAAACTTAGCAGCCCACCTCCTTAACAACTGAAGTCACTCCACACTAGCTCTCAGTCCCTGCTGTGGCATTCAAAGCATAACCCAGAGTAGACTTCAGGATTGCCTGGGAGATCACTCTCTCTGTGATCCTTGTCACACACAACAGCAAGGGCCACAGGCACACACCTGCTATAAGACATCTCATGGATGAAGACTCATCAGGCTCTCTATTTGAAGCATATCTGCCTTGCTCCCACACTTCCCTCCAAGGGACATCTGTATCCCCATAATTATGGCTCAGGACCAGACAGGACTGAGTATTTGATGTTTCAAAGGTAGGCTTGTAGAAAGCAATGCAACTCCTTGCGTGCAGCCTTTTGCAGTGGACCTTCCCCTGCTCTAACACCAAGCAGTCCCTTAAAATGGAAAAGCTGTATGAACACCAGAGCAAGGCATCAACAGATGCTCAATCCATAAATGTAAATGCCCCATATAAACAGTTTATCTGAGGGCTTGCTTTTTCAAACTCGGGTAACACCTAAAAACACGCTGAGCTTACCTATGTGAAGGCTTTTCTTTCACTTCACACGTTGCAATTTTGTGGAAGTTTAGAAAAAGTCAGACTTCAAGACCAACATCCTTGCCCAAGCCCCTGGAACCAGCCTGATGAAGAGCAAACAATCTGAGCTGGAGACCTGGCTTTAAACAGCCACTGCCTCTTTTACAAGATTAAAGGAATTTGCTTCTTCATTTAGAGGATGCAGCAATTTATTTACAAGCAAAAGAAAGTCAACAACCAAGAGCAAATCCCTTCAAAGTTGAGAAGGTGAGATTGAGATCTGCTCTCTCAAAAATCTGAAGAATGGACCTGTCTATTGTCATCAGAACTGGGTAACAAAAGGTTTTCCTAAGCCTTCCTTTGTATGTCCAACACATGTTGAACTAACAAGGCATTTAAAAATACTGTTGGGTGCATTTCATTGAATTTTCATTCCCCTTCAAAAAAAGTAATCAGTTACTACACTCCACTGCTAATATTAAGAATGATGCACTATACATTTTTTTCCTCCCCAAATCCCACTTTAAATTAAAAAATAACATTTAAAATATATTTGTCTCCAAAATGCACTTTTTTCTTAAAGCTCAATCTAATCATTTGGTTCAGTTCAATTTATTTTTGAGGAAAAATACATTTTATCTAAACTTTTTAAAAACTAAAGCTATCTTTTCCGTACAAGGCAAGAATATTTGTAATAATAGAGGGTAACCCCAATGGTTTTTGGTGGTGGTTTGGTTTTTGTTTGCTTGTTTTTAATTTCACTGGAATAACAAAAGTGATCTGATGTTAAAACCTTTTTTTATTTCTCATTTCTAGCTATAAACTGAAAAGTTAATTACCCAAATAAGTATTGCCAGAGCATTCCCTATAAAAACTTCCAAAATTAATACAAAAGATTGCAGTTAGCTATATAAAACTTTATTTTAATGGTTTCCAACTAGAGCTATCAGCTAACAAAAATATGCAAAACATTTCTTACCCTAGTTCAAACTCTCTGCTTCCCAATGTATATAATAAATAATAAGTTATATGTAGTCTTCCAAACTAACAAAGTAATTTCACCTATAAACATTGAAACTACTATAAGAGTTCCTCCTTTTTCCTGTGTTTAAATACTTCAGAGGCGCACAAGTGTTGTTTTAACAGGAATTAATTGCCAAGGAACAGCTACGTCACTAAACTCTTTCCCTTACACAATCAATAGCTCAAACCACAGCAAGAAGTGAGACCAGTACCTGAACAAGCCTTAGTTTCAAGTAAGGTCTACAGCAGAAAAGAAGGTCATATTTTGGGTTTGGTTTGGATGTTTTTGTGTGCATAATTTAAGAACATCCTTCAGAACTGAAACATGAAATTTTTCTAGATCTGATGTTCAGCTATTCCACCTCTCCCTTTCTTACTATTTCTTTCCAATTAAAGGAATATGTTAACAAGAACCATTTTTCTAATGCTCTCCAGATAAGGCTAAATTAAAGTGCACAATGAATTAAGGAAAACAATACAGCATGCAAGCCCAATTCTAAATTAATTATGTCATGCAGACAAAGGAAAACACTGAACTTGGGTTCAGGTAGCTACAGAATGCTTACTTCACTACTAATGAAATTTAGTTGTCTCTGTTCTTACGGGGAAATTCCTTTCAGTTCACAGTTCACAGTGAACAGACAACACTCAGTTCACAGACAACACTCCAATTAGGCAGGCCAACCCCCTCAATAAGGAGGAAAGCATGACTCAGTGGAATTTTTAGGAGATTTCAAGGACACGATGGCTCAAGGTGTAAGACCGCAGCAGCTACAAAATGAGGTGTAAATACTGCTTACCTCATCCTGACACAGCAACCTGCAATGGGAAGAGCCCTCCCAAGAAAAATGGCATCTCGAACGGAGTCACCAAACCCTCGGGGCAACCTTTAGTCTCTCGACTTGCCCCTAGCTCACGTCTGGAGCTCTACGGAAACGCCAGAAGTAGCATCCAAGAGCTGCAAGCAAAGGAAAAGAAGGGGGCAACCCCTCCTTCCTGGCGGCTGCAGCGACCAGAGCCCTTCGAGAGGAGATTTCAGCAGGCTCCCTGCACCAAGAGCCTCGCCGGCTGCCCTCAGCTTCGGCTCCAAGGTGGGCCCTCCAGGCCCTTACCTTGCTGTCATCCATGTGTGCCGCCACGAGTCCGCCGCGCCGCAGCCCGAGCCCGGCAGAGCCGCCCGCCCGTCCGCAGCCCCAGCGGACAGACAGCCGACGCTCAGGACACCTCAGGGCCCCCCGCGGCCGCCGCCATCACTCGCCGCCCTGTTTGTTTACAGCCGACGGGCGCGAGGGCGCCGGCAGAGCGGTGCGCGGTGGGAAATGTAGTCTTGCCCGGCCCCACCGCCTTTGGCCACTGCTCCGCTGGGGGCGAGAAGAACCACAACTCCCAGCAGGCCCAGCGGGGAGAGAAGCGGTGATTGGCCCTCGCCTATCTAAGCGGGGAACTACATTTCCCAGGAGGCCCCGCAGCAGCTTAATTTGTTGTTTCGTTAGTTTTTGGCCTTTTTCTGTAACGCGCCGTCCCGCGGCAGCTCACCGGCCGCTTCAGTGGCTCTGTGTCGATGACCAGGGGCTGGGGGGGGCTGCCCGTCCGACCCTGCGCACGGGCTCTCGAGCTCTGAGCCCTAAATCGAACCCCAGTTTTGCTGCTCCTGTGATCGCCTCCAGTGCCTCCGTGTCCCCGCCGGCAGCTCTGCCCTCACCGGCCCGTGGTCAGCGTTACAGAGCCGCGGGCTCGGCAGCTGAGCAGCCGTGTAATGGCTTGAGCATTAGATAAACAAAAAAAACCCCAAACCACAAAACAACAAATTAGGTTTTCTGCTATTGTTTGCCTAGCTTTACCCTAAGAGTTCCTGAAGACAGAACGAAGTCTTCCAAGCCCCCTGGACACTGCATGGTGTACTGAGCTCCTCAGCTACCGCAAGGCTGAAGCAGTCCCTGTAACCCTTTTGAGAATACCCGGGTTCCTCTCATTTTCCTATCGACACATGGCAGAGAATGTTAATATTGAATGCTTGATGCAAAGCCAAGCCATGCATCGTCCTGCATCTGCCCTACCCCCCAGGTCCCTTGAAATTAGGCTTCTGCTTGCTCGAAAGACACATGTAGCCCAGGGAACAATTTCATAAACATGGTCAATGTTTCAAGTTGGCAGTGAAACCTGAAGCTAGGCATGTTTCATGTTGCTGCATGTTTCTTTTTATTCATGCAACTCTATTCACAGGAGTTTCCCATGACTTAATCTCTCTTACATGCAATTGTTAGGGCTAAAGGCTTTGTCATGGGATTTTCCCCCTGAATCACAGACCTTCCTCTTGGAAGGCTATGCCTTTCTAGATGGCAGAGACAAAGAACTTTCAGAAGCTTTTTTTCTCTTATATGCTTTTCAGTTGTCAAAGACAAGGCAGTTTGCTCACTTTGTATTTACCTGTCCAAAAACAATGAATCAGTTCTGGCAACTCCCCTCTGAAATAATAGTAATAAAAAAGCAGGGTTGATCAGTATGTTGAGCAGGAGGCGTCAGCTAATAAAGTAGCAGGAATAGCTCAATATGAGCTTGTCTAGGTTGCCTCCTGTGATCCCTCCCCTATCTTTGCCTTCAAATTCTTCAAGAAGGTGGTGAGGTGCCTCATACCGCCTTTGGCACTCTCCTGGGACCATAAAGCTGACTTTAAAAGTTAGTTGGGGGTTTCCCCGGTGAAGGGAAATATTGAGTGGCAAAGAGCCAACATAGCTCACTTTAGGCAACCCTCTATTGCAACACGAGTGGAGGAAGGAGATTAGACAGAGCCCTGATGCTGATTCAGAAAGACCAGAATCCTTTTAACCAGAAAGTTATAGCTGCATCTTTTCTTTCCACTAGATTATCCCACACTACTCCTTCTGCTTTATATCACTTATGAAGCAGAGCTCTCAGCTTCAAAACAGGATAAGCACAAGTTCCCTGCCTAAGCACTTAAGAGCTTCTATATTTTAGCACAGAACAACTCAAAATAGGCATTTCAGTCTACTTTCCTACTATGGTTATGCTGTCCCCCTGGATGAATACGGACAGGCAAGTTGAGTGGGAGTCTGTCAGGAAGAACAATTGTGAATGAAACCGAATATTATATATACGCACATATATATAGCACATAAGATTTGAAACTGATTTCAACAGCTAGTAGTACTTCTTTACACAGCATATAGTGAACTCTTGGAGTTTACTGCCAACAGGACACTGTAAAGAAGAGAATACTGCAAGTTCATAAAAGGATTAGATATGTTTTTGTCTCATAAAGAGGTACTAAGTGGATGTATTCTCTGTCATCCCTAATCTAACTGGGATACTGGGGATGTATGAGAGGAAGAGATACATGAGAGAGCAGAAAAAGGCCAAGTTCACATATGCTCCCTAAAAGGTGTTTCCTCTTAAGGTCTGACTCAGCAGGTCTTTTTTTGTTGTAGTCTAACAGGTCACCATTTTGACCCCCAAAGACTCACAAATGATAAGATTTTTAAGTAAAACCTCCTTGGTTAAATGCAGTGTCACAAATCGTCTTACGTAATAACTATTGGCAGGTTCCTGCTGAAAATTAGTTCTATTTATTAAAAGAAGGATTGTGCTTCTGAGATCCAGAGAGACTTTGAAGTATAAAAATAAAGTGAGTTCAGGCAATACAGTGGCAATCAGGGTATAGTTTAAATATCACTGCTTATGTCAGTGTGACTTAAAAAGATATATAACTCACAGGGTGATTTTGCACCATGTGCTCATATTTGCAGTGATGTCAATAGATCCTTAAAGGGTGTTTATTCTCTCTAGAACTGGAAATGTTTTAATTTGGGCAATTCAAAATCTGTTCCTCTGAGACCCTGCCTGAAACAAGAATAAATCTTGCAATGTTTTGGTATCAGGGCTCAGCATTTTACTGAAATTGCTCCTCTGTACATTTGTGGAGTCTTTAGAGATTCAGAGCCTTTGAGATTAGTTCATTTATAGATATAAAGGCAAAGATTAAGATATTTTCTTGTTTGTTTTCCAAATATACTGAGATGCTAATTGCTTTAATAGAGGTGCTAACTCATTTGCCATGGGGCAAAGACTCCATGAACAGCTTGTCTGTTGGGATTTTGGAGGTCTTTTTGTCGAACTGATAGAGAAATTGCATTTTTCTACATCCTTTAATCTGACGCCCAAGGAACATTTCTGGAAATACAAGAAATTCTCTGTCTTTCAGTTTGTAGAGTCTGTTGATACTGAGACAGAGAACACCTTTAACTTTTCGTTTATACTCATCAGTAAAAGTATTTGTCACCAAGGAGTGACAAAAAAATTTTTTTATTTACGTAATATTCTATATCTTATTTTTTTTTAATATAACTATGGTAAAAGTATACCAGTTTATTGGTTTGGATTTTTTTTTTTCATTAGAGAAATCAGCTATATAGTCTAAAGCTCTGGAAGACCTGGTAAACACATGGACAGCACATGCTCACAAGCACATTGATTGATCACCTCCATTGGTGATGATTAAAAGAAAATTCTATTTAAAATAAAAGCTCTTTGAAAGTTGGCTTTTAAATCTAATCAGTGTTTGAAGGAAGCACAGCACGTTGGAAACCTGATCTGTGACTATTTCCTATACACTGTATAATTAAATGTTGATAAGGGGTTACTCTCATATTTGCTAAATGTTCTACTTTGTGACAAGTTGAGGGCCTTCTTTGGTTGCAAATGCTTGAAGTCAGCTCTACAAGGGGAGTTCTTCCTATTTAGCTATTGTGAATGTACTTCTCAAGTAAAATGGACTCAAAATAAGATAATTTGGAATAATCAGCTTTTGTCCTGTGCATACACACACACAGAAAAGTTACAGCTTTATCTAACCAAACTAACTTTCCCACATAAGCAAAATCTTGAGACAGTGCTCATGATGCTTTTATATTGCTGAAGGGATAGACTATGTGTAAATTAAAATATTGCATGAAAATGCTCATGCTGCAGTTGGAAAGGAGCTACATCATATTTTCTAGCTCTACTAGAAGGGAGAAAAAGAAGTCAGATGATCACACATATAATTGGTAGTTCTAAATACGATATGTGAGGAAAACCAGGAATGGTTCAAAAAGTTATTTGAAAAACATGGGTTTCGTGCAGCATTTAAACTAAATATAAGAAACTGAGAACCATAGAGCAAGACAAACAAATCACTGATTAAGAAGATGACAAAGAGTGGGTTAAAGTTCAATGAGGTGCACAAGTGAATAAAATTTAATCTTGTTCCGAAACAACAAACAAACAGAGCAGCACAATATGCCACGTTCAGGAATGTGAGAGCCATGTTGTATCTGGCACTTGAACAACAGAGAATTATTGCTGCTGATATGGTAATTGCAGAGGTACAGAAAAAAAGTGGGTGGATCATGTGAAATTCATGAAATACTTGAGGTGAATTTACAGCAGGATTAGTCTTTTAATTGTGTACATTGATCTCTATGCACAACTGGTTTACTAAAAAGGCCTATTGTTCATTCTCAAGAGGTTTAAAAATCCACTTCAGCTCGGTGTCTTATTTTTTTGGTTCATAAGATATTTTGCAACATGCTCCTCCCCTTTGGCCTACACAAACAAATATGCCTGCATAGCCATACCTATTAGAGCCAGTCAAAATCTGCTCTTAGTAGCTGGCCATTCTGGTAAGAGCATTTCTGGTTGCCACAACACATAAAATAATTTTAAACAGTTTTGTCCAGATCCAGATTCTGTGGCATGGGCTGTGCTCACATGAAAACATTTACTAATCTAAGTCTGATACTGTTGTCTTGTCCAAGGGCATAAACAAGGTTTCTGCATAGCTTAAACAAAAACTGAAGGACTTGTATGGCAAGCTGGATCTGCATTGTAACTGGGTCAGAGGACTTCCATAATGACCTTGACTACTTTCAGAAATGCCATTGTCCCTCATGTGAAGGTTTGGGTCATCAGACACAGAACTTTTCCCTGGTCTGCACTGCTCACCCCATCTTAAGTCAGCATCATATTGGCTAATTTCTGGTTTGCAACTGTATTTAAGAGTATTGGATTTCCCAGTATTGTTGTAACTGCTAATGAGTTGTGTATTTGTGTTTAATGAGATTTGTGTTTAATGAGACTGCTCAGGTGAACAGAAGTTATTTACAGGATCAAAAGCTGCACCACAAAAAGTGTTGTATTAATTTGTAATAAATGTAAATGAGGAATGCACTCCTGGATAACACCCAGTTGTTCACAAGGCTATTTCAAGGAAACAGGCAAAATATGCAGCAGGTTATTGGGAGCTGGCAGGCTGCCTGCCTTGCCCATCCATACAGGGGAAATAAAAGTGTGTTGTTTCAGAAATACACAGCAAAAAGCACAGCTACCCTCCCAGTACCTAAAAGGGGCTACAAGAGAACTGGAGAGAAACTTTTTACAAGGGCATATAGTGATAGGACAAGGGGGAATGGCTTTAAACTGACAGAGAGTAGGTTTAGATTAGATATTTGGAAGAAATTCTTTACTGTGAGGGTGGTGAGGCACTGGCAGAGGTTGCCCAGAGATGTTGTGGATGCCTCATCCCTGGAAGTGTTCAAGGTCATTGGATGGGGCCCTGGGCAACCCAGTCTACTTGCTCACTTTGGTCTTGACGTCAGTGGAAGAAATGGCATTTAAATTCTCAAGTCAGATGCTGGTTCACAAATGATCATATCAAAAATCTAACAATCAAGAGGATTGACTACAAATGCACATAAATATCTACTAGTTTTCTCATTCACATATCTATATATAAAATAACTCTAAGCTCAAAACTATCTCTGACTTGAAACCATAATTGATTTATGGCAACTGTTTGAAGATTTGGAGGATTAGCTGTAATTATAAGATAAAAATTAGAAAATATTGACTGGCTTGCAAAAAGCATTAAAGTACAAGATGAGGGCAGGGGTGGGCTGTGTGCGTATTCCCCCGTGTCTAAAAGGACCGTAATTAAAAAACTACACATTCAACGTTTATTTTTTTCTTTTAAATTTTACAATACTTTTAAACAAATTTCAGACAAGGCTGATCCAAGAGAAGAAGCAAATGGGCTTTGTGAAACACCAGCACAGAAATCGAGTTACCTGTTTTTTCTAAGCAAGTGGTCTTTTTTAACTTCTATCTCAGGATTTCCCTTTAGAATTTGGGACCGAGGACTATACTGTCCCTCCAAAAGTAGGGACTAACACTAGAGTTTCAAAGAACTGTACAAAATATCTTGCCTCCTGTACGTCCCCGCTGTCTTGTGTTACAAACCACTCATGGTCAGACCGTACAGGGTAGTTCTGCACACAGCAGAAGCTGTCTGTGGCACTGTGCTCCTTTCCTACATGGCCCCTAGCAGGTTTGCTGTCAGACCCAGGAGCAGTACATTAAAGTTTACTAATTCCTGAATGGCTCCCCCTCTACAGGTCTCCATGAGAGACTACTAGTGGTTTCTATCTACTGAGGCATATCTCTACAAAAGTGCTAAATGATGCTACGAAGTAATTTAAGGGTAGTAAACCTATAGCAAGAGGAGCTCTCATCCTCTCCACAATACCTTGAGATCCACAGCTATGTGTTTACAAATAGGACATTCGGGAGTTTTCTCCAAGTATTTTCCGTGACTTTAAGGCCCAGGTTAAGCTACAGAAGAAAGCCTGACATACATATGTTGATGCCCATGTTAGTTGTTAGTCTGTTTGGTTTCGAAGGCATCTCCAGAAGCTGATTTGAAACATTTACATCAGTCTGCTGCTCAAAATCACTGAAACTTAGAGGTAAGTAGATAATTATAGATGTTGTGAACAGACCCGTCAGTAGTCATTTCATAGAACCAACTGATGTCATACAACAGAATAGCTTTGCCATGTGTTTGACAGGCGTTCTACAAAAAGAAATGCAGGTGGGGGATTTTCATGTGTGTTTGTTGCAGATATTTTTTGGTTTTTACCATCTCCAGTTCTTCATGCAAATGAGTTTTTTATTAAACAACTGCTACAATGTCAGGTATAAATACTAACCGAGGAAGCAATGAATCTATACAAAGATTGACAGCTGTTTGCTAAGTGTTCACTTTGGTTCCATATATATAGTCCTTAGCTCTCTAATTACTTGTCCTATTGCAAGAAGCATCAGCCCTACTACCTCTGCCTTTGTTAACATCCTTTAAATTTCTAGCTATGTCAGGGAGAAAAGACCCTATTGCTGAATCTGAGTTGAGACTGCTATGGAAAATTTTCCCCTGACAGTGTCAGAAATGTTATTCAGAGTCCCACAGATAGCTACGGCATTCTTAAATGGAATACAACTCACACTTTTCCGCCTTTAATGTGTTCAGCAGACAGGTGGCAACCCAACTGCTGGGAAGTTCCTAAGTATTTATATCCTTTAACTCTCAAATGATATAACAACTAATAGGAAATGTCATGCACTGAGTATATGACTAATGTTCCCATTAATCAATCTTCCAAAATAATCTGGATTATTATGTCTGTTTGTACTACACTGTAGCTATTTGCAGATAGATGTACTAAAAAAGCAAGCTTGATTCGTATCAGCTCCGTTCCATGTGGAGCTTTGCAGGCAGAATCTCTTACAAGTTCTTTCCTTTTCCAGACGTGCTTTGGCCAGGCACAAGAGAGACTCATAAATGTAGAATACCACCAAGATGCAATTGTCTGCTTTCTGGTGTCAGCATTTGACTCCCACTTAGACATAATTTTCAACTGAGTATAGAATCTGCGAGGAAATGAAAAATGAGATCTTTAGTTGCTCTGAACTAGCAATCAGACCAAGCATGTTTTAGAGACGAGTGGGAATTTGAAGTCCAAACAAAACAAACGACTTTTTAATCATTCATGAACAATTTAGATGGCTTTGTTGCTTAGTCTTTGTATGGTTTTGGCTTATTTATTTCATAATCTGGCTGCACAACTGAGAAGAAATGAGTATAATACATCCCTTTTGCACCACTCTAGAATTGTTAAGAAACATTTAAATGGAAGTAAATATACCCTGTGCAGCTACACTGTCGACTTATGAACAGCTATGAAGAGTGAGGTATGTAATTCAGAATAAGACTCTGGATTTTTTTTAAAGATATATTTGATTTTGCATTTGTTACTATGGATTTTGTTGTTGTTGTTGAAGGATGTCATAACTTCATTCCTTAAATTATACATATATGGCCTTGACTCATTTTATTCCAGGGCCTTTTTTCACACCCCTACCTATGTGAAAGGACCTCTCTATGGATGTAAATGTGATTTGCTACCATAAAAATATCCAAATGCTAAGTACAAGAACAACTTTTATCAATCCAATAAAATCCAGCAGCCATGTTGCACCACAGGCATGCCACTGAGAGACAAAGTAGAGAGAGGATGAGTATGTTTTTACATCCACTGAGATTAATCAGTTAAAATACACTATGTACTATACATATTGCCGAGTCTCTCTTCAACATAAATTTAAGCTTGTTTGTAAACTCTATGTGTACGTGTTACTTTAGTGATTTTTACAGTAAATTCATATTCAATAACCTAGCTTTAACATGTTTGGTTCAGTAACAATGAGATTAACCTTACAATAGCTGTATTTTTAAAGAACTGACTTCCTCCTGAAAAGCTCCTAAAAACGTAAACACATAAATTTATACACTGAAATTTCATAACAGTGACAGGACTATCTTAATGTTTGACAGATAAATTTTCAGCCAGGCATACTGACGCACTGAGAGTTCAGAATACCAGATACAGGAATCATAAATGCCCCCTCTATACCATATAATAAATTAGGTTGGAAGGGATCTCAGGAGGCCAGCTGGTCTAACTCCCTCTACACAGCAGAGCCAATCTCAACATTAAATCTAACTCCAAAGTTAGATCATGTTGATCAGAACCTTGTCCATTCCAGCACTTGACTATCTCCAAGGAGAGGAAAACCTCTCTAGGCATATCTTCCAGTGTTTGACCACCCTCAGTCTAAAGAGCTCTTTTCTGTTGTCAGATGGCAAATGTCAACCTAACGACTGTCAAAAAGAGTAGCTTGCTGTACTTCTGTTGGATTAGCAAGACACACTAACTCCTGTTGCATTATAACAATGCCAGATCCACAGCAAGGATCACAGTAAGAAGCAGAGGGTAGGAAACTGTGAGCTAGAGCATCACCTGATAGATGGGCTCAACCAAGGCATCTGTTTGCATCTTCTCAACCTCTGTACACCCATGCCACTGACACATTGGTTCACTCTTTCTCTACCAATTGCTGTGTATCCTTGTTTCTATTTTGCCATCTCATCTCCAGTGGCTGAAGTCTTTGTTCATTCACACGCCGTTAACCAAACAGAAACCACACTCTTCTTTCAGTGACGTCCAGCTTACAGCATTTGTGCAACTGCATCCTGATGTCCTGCTGGCATTATATGGTAAGAAGGTATTTTAAATGAATCATCAGTTATAATAGCCATTTTTCTTAAACTGTAGCTGACATCATTTAATTGTAGGTACTAGTACAAAATAACAGATGAATAAACGTATAATTTCTGCAACTTAGTAATCAGACAGGCCCTTTGAACAGGGGCTTCTTTTTCCTTTTATATTCTGGAACTCGAATCTCATTTACCATTTTCCCATAACTGTCTCCACTTGACTGGCTCACAAAAGACTGCGTCCTCACATGTTCCTGTCTAGGAAGTTCTTCTGAGCTTTCACAGCTGCTGAGAAAAAATGTCTTGGAAAGTCATGTCCTCTACTTAAAACTCCACCTCTTAAAAAACTTTCTGCCCCCTCTGATTTCATAATACCCATTTAGATTTTAAATGGTCGTGAAGAGGCACATTCTTCAGCATAAATTTGTCTGGAACTCATCATCATTTGATCAATGGCTTGAAACAATTTTTAATGACTGGAGAGTCAACAAGCCAAATTTATATCTAAAGTAAACATATGCGGCTTCGAATAAGTCATAAGAATTCTGAGGCAGACCTTTACAAAGAAAAAAAATCGTATTTGCAGCCCTGTGTTTTACCCACATTGACTTTCTCCCCTTCTTTTTGCAGGCCAAACATAAACCAGGGTTTTAAATGTTTCTAATACATTAATGATTCTTCCCCGGCTAAAAGGAGAACAAGTGGCAAACTGCTTTGAGGCATAAATGTTCTTGCAAGATTTTCAACCCCTCCGTAGAGCTAAAAGAGTTGTACCCATACCTAATACACAGAAGACAGGTTGTTCCTGAGCATCAGAAGGGTAGTCAAGAAGGCAATATAAAAATATACCAGCAGTCCTTCACCTCACCTCCACCTTGCACTAAAAAAAGAAAAAAAAAGGAAGAAAAGAAAAAGACATGCTCTGAGATTTTCTCTGCTCTCTGTTGTTGACAATTGGGCTAGTATTAGAGTGACAATTTTCTGACCAGTGCATTCAACAAAATAAGATACTGTTCCAAGTTAACAGTCTTTTTTCTGAAGAATCTATTTTTACTGTAAGGCCAAAATATTGATGTTCTGGGTGTTATCCACTTAAAAGTTTACATGAATGAAAGCTTGTAAATGGAGGTCATTGTGGTGCTATGTCCTTCTTTCCCACAGCATCAGCTAATAGTAATTAACTTGATTTTCTTTCCCATTTTAGAAATCAAGTTTATTTTTCATGTCCATTATGGGTTTGTCTGCCTTTTCCTTTTTTGATATTAGGCTCTTTTTATCTATTACGTACATTTTAATGATTCCATGGAATAAAAATCTCTCTCTCTCACAATCCATTTGAATAACAATGTAGTTTCACTTGCATATTACTGCAACACCCAAACTGCATCTTAGAAATAAAATAAAAAGTAACCTCTCAAATCCATGATGTTTAGGTTACCTGTAGGTGTCAGAAGCTGTTAAAGGTACACAGAAGCAACAAAATGGATCAGGAGCAATGGTGAAGACTCTAAAACTGTCACAAAATTTTTTCTCCTGTGTACATATCTTGAAAAGAAAAATACTTTAAAACAAGTAAATATAAATAAACTGGTCTTCATTACCACAGATTATACATTCTCTTTCTACATTCAGACTTTTAAACTATTTTCCTGATTGTGAACTTATTTTAGCATGCTGTCAGTACAGTAACTTTGTACTTATTGCTTTATATTGACCCAAATGACATTTCATGTATCACAACTTCTAAATATTTTATGAATGCTATCTTTTTTTTCCTGTATCCTTGGTACTCTTAGGAAAATACTTCACAAGAAATTTAAAACATATTAATATTTTAATATCAATATATTAATATAATTACTGGTAAATATGGTAATTACTATATCCCACTTCATCTAAAGTATTCAAACAGTTAAAAAGAAGGATATGAATAGTCAAAGACTTCATACATTTTATGTTGCCTTCATAAAAAACACAAATACATTTTACTTCTGATTCCTGATTGGCCACAAACAAAACATGAACATACAAAACTACTCTCCAGATAGTATGAATTAGCATAGCAACTGAAGTGTTAGTTGAGCAATGATGATTTACACCATCTGTGCTTACAGCCCATTACTAGTTGCTTTCAAAAGAAGTATCCCAGCCTACAGACAAGTGACTAACAGTGAGTAAGAGCTAAAAGTAAGTGAGGTGGGTGTTTATTGTGACAACTATCTTAATTTCTGGAATGTGTTTGTGATTTTTTTTTTTAACGTATGAGCTTTTTTGTTGGTTTTATTTAAATATTTTCTCTTTAGATATACAGAAAAGTGAGAAATGTTACTAGTTAAGTTTTTCAGTTGCTGTAGATTTGTCTGAACTTGTTGTTTCTTGAAAGCACTATTTCATCAATCTGTTTCCTGGTGACAACATGTTATTATGCTCCTTTTCTGTAAATAATATTTATTATGATCTCCAATTTCAAATGCCTCCTCAAAACTTAATCTTGCTGTTTTATTCAGAAGTGGCTTGACCATGACTTTTTTCTGCTTAAGATGATTAGAATTTATCAAAACCCCCTAAGCTTCAAAAAGGCCATTCAGAGAACCAAAAATTATTACTTCTTCCTTTATCTTTTCTCACTGTCTTCTGTTGTATATCTCACTTATAGTCTTTGTATGTGTATGTGTCTCTCTGTTTGCAAACTAATCCAACAAACTTTCATGCAAGTGCTTAATTTTAATAAATCTGCCTGCTTATGTAAGTAAAAAAAAAAAAAGTTACTATTTCTTTTGTGAGATGGAAGAGAGGAGAGGGAAAAGAAGGAGTTAGTGGTTAGATTTGGAATTTAAGAGAACTTGGTTCAGTTTTCTGATCTGCAACCATCTTGCTATACTATTTAGGATGAGTTACTTTATCTTAATAAGTCAGTCTTATATCCATAAAACATGCATTCATGATACTCTGTCCCACAAAAGACTTGGAAAAATAAAGAGTACTCAGAAACTATAGAGATAGGAATTATGTAATTTCCTATTGAGTAATGAATATAGGGTTTGTGAAGTAAGAAGATACAGGGAAGCAGACAGCTGAAGCTCTCTTTCGCTTTTTTTTCTGCACTTTCTGCTGCTCTGGTTCCTGTAATTCTCCTTTTCTCTTCCACTGCTCCAAATCACCCACTGTCATCCTACAGAGAACAAGAATATTGCTTCATCTTGTCCTAAATTCCTCCCAACTCAAAGACACATATCTGCATTGAACCTAGACCTCTCCACTTGCATACTAACTCTAGCTCATTTGATGTGCTATGAATTTGGCAGTCCTAGAGAAGCTACAGGGAAGTATGAAAACTATCTGCAGTGACTAACTAATGAGGCTATTCTTATTTAACCATTTTCCAGAGGAATAGAGCTTCCCAAAGTCTGATGCACACATGGAAGGGAAGGAAGGGAAGAATAGGAAGATACTGGGTGTTCTCAACTCACTGTCTTTCCCTGAGCATTGCTACTTGGCACCCTACATCTTTGATGCCTGCATTTCTCATGCTACTCAAATTCCTCCTCTCTAGACTGAGTTCTGTGATCTCCCACTGATCTCCAGCTACAAACTTTTCTCCCTCTTCTGCTCTTTCCCCACTCTCAGTCTGACATCTTCTATTTGTACTGGTTTTCAAATCCTCATGTTCCCATTGCTGCTCTCCTATAAACCTGTGCTGCTCTTACTGCTGTACCCTGCTCTATGTGCCAACAAAGCCGGTGCTATCTAAAAATGCTATGTTTCAATGTGGGTATTTCGGCAACGCTTCTACTTTTAAATACCCTGTTGGTAGCAGTCTGCTCTGAAAGCAGATTAGGCCAAACTACCCCCTGCCCCTGAAGCTGTCCATGAAAATGTCATCAACTCACTTCCCATCTTGGGTTTCCCCTAATCCAGTATAGCCAAAACAAACCAGTGCAACTGACTTCCACTATTTAAACTGCTTAAGCTGCTCTGGTTGACTTTGGCCAAAACAGTTTTGGGAGGGATTGAGTGAGCAGCTTATAGGTAGATAGGGGAGGGGGTAACCTTTGGCAGAAGACAGCCATGATGGTGACTGGGAACGGTCTGGGAATGGTAACCTCTTCAACAACTCCACTTCAGCCCATGGAGGAAGTGAGCACCCACAAGGGGATTTTAAAGCATAGTATATTCTGTGCTTAAAGATCAATTCTCAGTTATTTCGCAAGAGGTTTCTCTGGCAAACCACTCCTTTCCACTGTGCAGAAAAAGCGATGACGTTACTCAGGCTGTCGTTCATGTTTCCCCTGTTTAATCACTGCTAACTGATTAACCAAGTGAAGTGCCACAAAATCCATTAGCTGGAAAAGGAACAAAAACCTATGCTAGCTTTCATGAATAAAGAAAGAGAAACCTTTGTAAACAAGGTGCATGACCTCCAGCTCTTGAAAGTACCTACCTATTCCCCCTCCCTAGCCCCCCAGGAATAGGGGCAGTGAGGGGTGACACACTTGCAGTGTCAAAGTTTGAGGGTTGTTGCATAGCCTGCTGGGTAGCCACCATAATACATTTTGCCCTTGTTTTACCCCATACAGACACTTCTGGTCTTCTTATCTCATGAGCTTGATAAGGAGGCACAAGAAAGGAATGCTACCTTTAACTCCTTTGGTACCATTTTGTCAAAAAGGACCGGTGAGCTGAGGCCAAAAAACCCACCAACATAAATGTAGCAAAATACATTCCATAGAATGGATGGACCTTTGAAAACCTGGGAGGGAAGGTCAGCAGCCAGGGACACCAACAAGGCTGGGTACTCCCTTTTCAGGGTGGTTCAGGTGTTTGCCAAGCTAATGCCTGACTCTCTCCCTGGTTTGCACCTGCAGTTCAGGTCATTTCCAAGAGTCTGCTGTGCAAGTGCTAGGGAGGATTGAAAGGCTTTCAAGGGGAAAAAAAAGTTAAGCTGTACATGCAAACAAGTTCCTGCTCCTACAAGAGGCATGTCAGCTCACACTTTGTCCATTGCAAACAGGAGGTAAAGAACATGGCTCCTGCTCTCAATGAGGTGAGGTCTGATGCTGCCTTGTTTGAGTCCTCCTGATTTCTTCTGTTTGTGTTTTCAGATTAGCAACAAACCTGTCCAGTTTAACCCTGCAATGTTCTTCCAGATCAGATTCTCAGCTCAAGCTCAGCTGAAAAGAAAAAGTTATTCTTAGTAACTATTTCAACATGTAGGAATTGTGATATAACTGGTTTAGCTGCACCTTTTATTACATTAGGAAAAAGAAATAACCTGACTCTGTATTGAAAAAGCTTTAACTTGCTGTTCTAGTACAGACTTTTTTGTATATATCCTTTTTTTTCAGCTAAAAAGAAAAATATTTCAAGAAGATCACAAGTACTTCTTATTTTTACAATTTTACAGTCAGGAAACTTTTACAGTCCCACAATTTAAAAAAAAAAACCAAACCAGTTACATAAGGTGTTACCAAGTTGAGATGACAAAAGGGAAGGGAGTATTGAAATGTCTTTCCTCCTCACCACGCACCTCTCTCCACTGCTCCCCACTTCTCTTTGTGAGGATAACCGTGCTGGAACTATTTGTTCCTGCACTTCTCTGATCTGAATAAGCTGGGGCACTGGCTGTTACCTCCAGTTTCTCTGGCACGCTCTTCGATCCCCTTCATCAAAATGGGTCAGTTCTAGCTCTCTTAATCTCCAGGTAATTGTGCAGATTTTTCTTACTGTGGTCACTTTGGGGGTTTGTGAAAGCCACCTGCAGGGCTACTGGTCAATTGAGACGAAAGGGCAAAACTGCTCTTCAGCTACCAGAAGACAGACGTGTGCAAAAGAGTGAACAAACAGACTGATGTTAATTGCTTTACCATAATTTCTTCACTGCTTTTGATCTTTTGTCTCTGTCTTTTGGAGCTTGGGCTTCTCTCTCTCTCCTGCATGCTGTGCACTCCATTGCACAGGACGTGACTGTTCAGTATGAGTGCCAACAAGGCTTCCTCATGAGGAGACAGCTCACAACTCCTTAACACTAGGCCCTTCATCAAGGTCGTTCTTGGTCAATTTTGCCAGGGCAGAGACCACCACCATACAATTTGTTCTGAGTTGCCTGCTTCCTGAAACACCAACCACACAAACCCCTTTACTGTGATAGTCATGTGCCTTTCCGAAGGCGCTTTGTTTGAAGAGATAGCCACCAAGAACAAAGGACCCGTGCAGTTAATTCTCTCTCTCATGATGTGTTTCAAGGGTTTCTGGCACAGGGATTCAAAAGCCGTCAGAGGTGACTGACTGGAGTTTGGTGTGCAAGATGTCCTGTGCACCCAGCAGTGCTGGCAGGCTCCCTGTAGTGATGGTGCCTCTGAGGAAGAAAGAGAACTGCAGAATATTCTGGTGTACCTGCAAGAGGGATGCATAAGACAGATAGGACCCATCCAACCCCTCGCCAATTCAGGTTGGTACTAGCCATAACAGATACATGTTAAGACAAAAGGCTTCTGTGTATCTGTGCAGATTTTCGCTTTTTGCAAGTTATTGGCTGCAGATTTTTAATTTTTTTTTATTTAACAAGGTTACTTAAAGGGCAAAGGCCCTGAACGTTCCACGTGGCCCACAAGGTGCTCTGCCCGCATCAAGTGAAGGGTCTTGACATTTTAAGGTCCCCTTCCTTCCCTGAACCACTCTGTGATTATATGATTCTATAACACCACCACTGGAGGAACCGACGCCTTAACACCGTAACAGTTCAGCATCGCACTGCACAGCGTCACAAGGCAGAAGGCCAGACCGATATTTACGAAGCCACCCGGGGCGCTTGTCCCCTCGGCTGGTGGCACCGAGGGCAGCGGGACCGCGCCCGCCAGGCCGTCGCGCTGCGCCACACGGCCGTGGCTGCCCCGGCCGGGCACGGCGGGGCCGCTAAGGCGGGGCGGCCGCTGCCGAGAGGGGCCGACAAAGGAGCGAGGGCCGCGCGGCAAAGCCGCCTCCCCGTCCCGCGCCGGGGGGGCGGCTCGGTGGAATCGCTCCGCGGCCCCGGCTCCTCCCAGGGGCGGCCCGGTGGCTGCAGCGGGAGGCTGGGGGCAGCGCGTTCCCCTCGGTGACAGCTGGGGCGGCCCGAGCGCCCCGCCGCCATCGCCTCCCAGCGCTGGGGCTGCGCGGCCGCCGTGTCCCCGCAGGGATCCTCTCTCGCCGCTCCTCCTCTTTCTCCTTCACCCTCTCCCCCCACCTTCACCCCCCGTCTGAGTTCATTCACTGGGATTGGTTTCAAATGACGCCATCGCTTTATTTTTACACCAATGACCTCATCCCAGCAGCTTGAAGTTTACTGACCAGCAAAACTCTTTCTCTCGTTCGTTCCTCTCCTTGTGCCTGCTCTTCCCGTGTGTTTGTCGTCCTTTAGGTCATTCTGGGAACCGAAGGCTTTAAAAAAAACCGAACAAAACCAAACAAAAAGACCAAACGCACACACAAACCCCCCTAACCCCCAAACTTTTTCCGTCCTCCCTGGCTTTTCAGTGTGTGTGTCCCCCTCATCACTGTCCCCTTTTAATTTTTTCAAGCCATCTTGGTGGGGGGTGGGGGAAGGAGAAGGAAAGAGAAAAAAAGAGCTCCAAGGCTCCAAATGTTTCCTTTTTCTGGTCCTCTCCCCTCCCACCTTCACGCTTCCCACTCTTAAAAAAAGAGCCGAATGTATTTTTTTTCTGTTCCTTTTTAATTTTAAAATTGCTGGGGTTTGGTTGGTTTTTGATTTTGTTTTTTCTTGTTTTGTTTTTTCTTTATTCTTACTGAAGAAGAAGGAAAAAGAGGAGCTTTCCTAGAGACTGGAAGCAGACAAAGTTGTTTCGGGCGGCAGCCGCGAGGCTGGTGGCAATTAGTTTTATCCTTGCCGAGGGGACAGACAGACAGGCAGGGGGTGACACAGTAAGTGCCGGGAGCAGCGCACGGACCGGCGCTCCGGGGCCGCCCCGTGGAAGCCAAGTCGGGAGGGGGGCGAGGGGCGCGGGGGAAGCCGGGCACGGCCGGGCCGGGCTGGGCGGGGAGAAGGAGGAGGAGGGGGAGGGAGGTGAGGGAGAGGCGGGCGGTGGGAGCCCTCCCTCCCTCCTCCCGCATGCCCTTCCCCGCCGCCCCCTCACCTCCGGAGGAGAGCGCCCGCAGTGGACAGGTCGCTGCTCTGGCCCGGGCAGGCTCCGGCCGCTTCTGCAGGTGGTAAGAGCGGGGCTGAGAGGGAGGGGGTACGGCACAGGCACGGCACTGGCGGCCGCCCCGCGCTCCCCTACCTGCTGCCGGCACCCGGCCCCCTGCTGCCCGCGGCCGCTCCTGTCTCCCCGTCCCTTCCTTTTCCACCTGCCTCTCCTCGTGAGAGGAGGAAGCCGGGGGCTGTTCGTGCCCGGGCCGGAGTCAGCCGCGGCTGGAAGAAGGATGGGTAGGAGCCCGCTGGCTGCCCCGCAGAGGGTTCGGGGGGCTGCTCATGAGGCGCGGCGTGCGCGGCTGCCTTGCTAAACTTAGCCAAGAGCGCTGGCTCCGAACAGGGTCTCCGCTGCTTAAAATGGTCGGGGATGCTTTAAAGCCCCGGAGGGCTCCCGAAGAAACGTTGAAGTTCTGCCTTCGACTTGGAAAACGTTTAAAATTGAGGCAGTTGACAAAATGGAGGGCTGCCGCGGCGTCCAGGAGCGAGGCAAATTGCAAATTGTTAACCTGGCATCGCGCTCGCCTCAGCTTCCAGCTCGGCGGCTGGCGCCGGGACGCGGCCTGTGACAGATCCCCGGTCCCAGCTTTGTTTCCCCCCAGCCCGAGAAAGCGGCGGGATGCGGAGCTGAGCGCGCATCGGTGCCTGCCGAACCAGGTGTATGGGATGTGCCTGTTGCAAAGTCTGACCAATGGCAGGATTTTTCAGCGGCCAAAACCCACTTGGTTAGTTGACAGATGAGAAGCTGGGGTGTTTTCTTGGGTTTTGTGGGTTTTTTTTGGTTTTTTTTTTGTTTTTTTTTGTTTTTTTTTTTTTTTTTTTTTTTTTTTTTTTTTTTTTTAGAAAAGAAAAACCAGGAGATTTTACTTTCTTTAATCGTCATTTCAGCTGGTTGGAATAGAAAATCGATCTTTTTGGTTTTCCTTCAAATAAAGAGTGTAGTCAAGCGAGCTGTATTGTCTGACTAAGGTTTTTGGTTCAAACATTTGGTGTATACCCAGCAGTATAAACAGATCTATGCTGGTTTTGAAAACTAAAAGCATATTAAACTGTTCCTCTTTGCAAGGGTGTGTGTTGGGGTCTTAAAAGAAAAAAACCCAACCAAACCCCCCAAATGATTTTGTAATCCTTGCTTTGAGATTTGTGCTATTCCTGGCAGCGTGTGGTTTGGTAGATACAGAGTTTACGAACTCACAACTGGCTAAACAGGAGTTGGTTTAGACTCTTGTGTTTTGAGGGGAGGTGGAAAAATAGTAAGTCTTAATTTCTTTTTATGGTGTTCATCCCACAGCCCATTGGAGATTGAAGCATTCATCACAGTTGTTTATGTTGGTTGTCTGGGAGTTTCTGCTCAAATGTGGAGCAAGTATGCAACAGGGAGGTGTACGTGTATTTTTAGCTTTCATTTTTAATGACAAAAGATACAAAGAATAGTGATATTCACAAGTCAGTCCTGTGTTTACTGAGTATGCTTATTAATATTTTGAGGATGAAATCTATAAAAAATATCTGAGGTGTAAAAATTCTGGTCATTATGCTTGTTACAGTAAGTTTTAATACACAAGTCCCTTTTTAAACGAACAAAGAAGTAAAAACAGCAGAGAAGGTGTTAGTTCCTGTGCTAGAGATGGTAGCTTCAAAATGCCTTATGGTTTAATACATGTGGAAAGGTCCAGAAAACCAAGCCAAGCATTTAAAAATGCAGAGTGTTGTATAAAGATACCTAAATATATCCCTGCTCCAGGAGGTTCGTTTTTGTTAGCTACCTAAGCAGATATAATGAAACAAAATCACACCAGAAAAACTTCTGTGGAAGATAGTGAGCTCAGTTATGCTTGTTTCTGTGAAATGCATGCTCTTCTTTCAGCGGAGGCAGCTACTCTGGCAAGGATATTTGCTTTTAGCTAGAATAGCTTCAACTGCCCATAGGAACAATATTGGCAGAAGCTGTGCTGCTGTACTTGTAGGGTGAGTGAAGTCATATGGAGTTAGTAGAAATTTGATGATGGGATGGCTCAGTCACTCTTCTGCTTATCAGGTTAGTGATTCGTGTGGGCCTTACGAAGCGCTCAAAGGCTAAATTCAGGCTCTGTTCTAGACCTTCATAAGAAATGCCAAATGGACAAATTAGCCCTTCATTTCTGTTACTCGCATTAATCTGCAGGTGAGCTCTGCTCCAGTATGTTGGGCAGTAAGCGATGTGTGCAGGGTTAGGGCTTTGCTCAGTCACCTGTCTTTTTAAAGTTTGACACCTTAATCCTCAGGCCTATTCACCAGTTTTCACTGTTTTCAAAATACGATTTTTCTAAGATATACAGTAAGCACAGCATTTTTTCCCTCTCAAAAAAAACGAGGCAGGATGATAGCTTTCACCTTACATTATGTCTGTTGAATTTTCTACTACTTTTTTTTTTCTTTTTCCTTTCCTATAACAGCAGTCAGAAAAGCACTATAGATATTATTCAAGTGCTGACAGTCCTTAATAGCCAGATGGCGTAGAGTAGTTACTGTCAAAGGATGAGGTGTGGAAGGATTGACACATCCCTTCCTTTTTCTTTTCCACTTTTTTTCCCCCCTAGAAAGAAACATGGTTTTGGCCTGCGACTCCAGTGAATCTGCCCCTATGGATTTGTTTTTATGATAATTACTAAATGCTTCTTGCAATGTTGCACTGTTTTGTGCTTGGTTCTGTAATGGTATATCCATGGTTATTTAAGAAGAATTATCCAGACGCTGTTTTTCTGGGTAATAGAAAAGTAAACATGTCCCTAATGTGCTAAATAGTACATTCACTTTCCCTACAATTCTTTAGGGACTGCTTCCAGAACTAGTGTTGTGACATGGGGTTTCTGTAGAATATTTTAAATATCAGTATCTACGTATCATATCAATATTGGTAATATTTCTCTGGTTTCTTTGGTATCCCCCTCATAAACAAAGAGTAATGTATCATTCTTTAGGGCTGTCAGTTGCATATGTGCCCTCTACTTTCTGCACAAATCAAAAGCCATAGGTATACCTGCTGTCTGAAGATATTCATGGCAACAGGTTAGTTCGTATCACCACTTCTCTTTAGATTGGTATTATTTGGAGCTCGTTAGCTCCAAATAGCAAATCTCTATTATAGTTACTCTGTAACTTCCTATAACACGTAAAGGAAGCCAAAAATACACATTAATGGTAACGTTTGGAATTTTAACTTATAGGTTTACGTAGTTTTAATCTGAGCAGTTCTTGGTTTGCTTATGGATAGGGCCTGTTGGCTGCTATCGTGGTCTCCAGTGGAGATGATGTTGGCCACCAGCGAATTCCTCACCAGTCAAAGAAAATCTGCATTTAGGATGTGTATATGGAGGATGAGAGGGAAGATGGGCGTGAGTTCAAGGCCTTGCATTTCCTTCTGCTTCGCTTTGTGGTCTGCTGCTGAGCCAAGACTGACCTACTCGGAATTGGCTCTGGGAAGGCTGGCAGCTTTCCATGTCGTGTCCCTATGAAATGCTCCAGCAGCTGAAAAAAAAAAACCGACCAAAATTAATAATTGGCCAAGCTAGGAAAGAGGGGGAAGAGTGTTTTTTCAATGAAGGGAGGTTTCTGGTGGGGCTGTGGGGATTCAGCAAGGACCTTCCCAAGCTCCCATGGTGCTGTTTTTCTCTGTTTTCACTGCCTGAAGCTGTAACATATATGAAAGGAACTCCTGAAACAAGGTTCTTCTTTAAAGGGGAATTCAGTTATCTCTGCTCTCTCTTGGTTAAAATAGGACATATACATAGCCAGTAACTTATACAGCTTTCCTTTAAGTGTGTTCTTGGAACTTTTTCCCTGTGTAGTATGATTTTTCATGCTGTTCCTCATAAACTATGCCTCCTCAGGTACGTTTGCACTCTTGTTTGGTTTCAAGCTGAAGACATAAACTTTTATCATTTGTTTAGCAAATAAAGATACAAAAGTAGAGGTGTGCAGAGGCTTTCATTAGTTGAGAATAAATTTAATTTTTTCTCCTTAAGATCTTTTTACATGATAGCCAGAATGATAGTCGGCTAAAATTATGTGAAAAAAATTCTTCATAAAATCATAACCGTGTTCCATTACATTGGTTTGACAGAAAACTGACACATTTTATAATATTGGGAGTGAAATAGCATTACCCGTTTTCATTGTGCTTGACTTGCTTTTGCTTTGCTATAGTAATCTATGAATTGAGCCTGTTGACTAAATGATAGATCAGTGACTTATACAGATAGTCTCTTTTTAGACATCCATGCCTGCTTGTCTGATGTTTTTTACATTACTGAAGGCATTGTGGGAGGCAAAAATATGAGTCTCAGTGTAGCAACACTGGAATGAGAACTCTACAGAGAGCATAAACTGAGGAGGACAAGGGGGACTAATTGTATGAAATTCCTTTTATGCACACGTTCTTGAGTTTGAATAACTAATATGTATTCAGCCTGCTGTATTAGAAGGCTTTGGCTCTGCATGTGTAGCATAGATGTTGCTCTCAAAATAGGAAAGGAACTCTCCCTTCTTCCACACTATTCCAGATAAAATTGATTTAGTACTGCATTTTGCTTCTGCTGAACCCCTAGTAAAGCATGTTTAAAGGCTGAATAATTCATAATGTTAGAGATATAAATGCCATGCTTTTAATAGCCCAAGTTGTTTGTGCTTCTTGATTGCTAGGTGTAAGACTCATTCACCCCAGACTTTAAAGACTCAAATCCCGTGCCAGGACTTGGGTTTCTACCTGCAAGATGGTGCTTGCAGGGATGTGCTTTTCTCCACAGTGTGTATTTCACAAAGTTTGTACAGTCTCTTAAGCATGAAAGCCGTCCATCTTCTAAACACTACACTGAACTACACTTCAAAGGGCTTTTCTCGGCATGCCATCCTGCTACTGAAACAAGCCTTACTTTCAGAGGTGATTTGAAAGCATCAGGAACATTTGCCTGAAGAACAGGCGCGAGATTACTCTCCACTCATTCTATTAATGCTGTCTGGAATACTTATAGAGCCTATCACCTATACAGTTCCCACAAGTGTTTTGTTACAAGTGCTTAGGTGTTGGGATTTCATACCTCCCTTCTTTAAAAATCATGCTTGGGACACAGCTTTGCTGTCCCTTTTCTTGGTAGTCTGTTTGAACTCTGGAAAACTGGGAGGGAAGAGAGGTGGAGGGGGAAGAAGCTTTGTATTACAGGTCTTTCTTCTAACTCATATTCTAATCATATTCAGAAGTGCCTTTAGAAACTAGGAGGATTTAGGTAGAGGCCTCATGTTAAAAATACTTGGGGAGCAAATAGAATCATCTTCAGCCCGGCTTCCACAAAGATTCATAAAACTCTGCCAATTTTTAAGCAAGAAGAAAGACTACTCCAGCAAAGGACTACAGCAGTCATCTTAGTGCTCTGGGTTGACATGTTGTTAGGTCCAGATAAGTTTAAAAATATGCACTAGATTGAATCCAGATTAGCAGAAGGCAAATGGTGTCACCACTTCAGTAGGGCTCCCTCTGTCTGTCACAAGACCCTGTGTGCAAGGCAGGTGCACTACGAATTGGGGATGGGCTGTGAAAATCTCTCCTTCCATGGTCTGCTTGGAGTTCTGCATTGATGGCAAGTCTCTTCTCATAGCAAGAGGAC